GATGGTTATAGAAGGGTCGTGTGTGTTGATGGTTATAGAAGGGTCGTGTGTGTTGATGGTTATAGAAGGGTCGTGTGTGTTGATGATTAAAGAAGGGTCGTGTGTGTTGATGGTTATAGAAGGGTTGTGTATGTTGATGGTTATAGAAGGGTTGTGTGTGTTGATGATTATAGAAGGGTCGTGTGTGTTGGTGATTATAGAAGGGTTGTGTGCATTGATGATGCTGGAAGAGATGTATTGATGACAGTGGAAGAAATGTGTGTGATGATGATACCAGAAGGGTTGTGTGTGTATTGATGCTGGTAGAAAGGTTGTGTGTATTGGTGATTGTTGATGATTGTAGAAAGGTTATGTGTATTGGTGATACAGAAGAGATGTATTGGGGATTCTAGAAGGGTTATGTGTATTAATGATACTAGAAGGACTATATGTATTGATGATACCAGAAGAGATGTATTGATGACACTAGAATGGCTATGTATTGATGATACCAGAAGAGCTATATTAATGATACTAGAAGGACTATATGTATTGATGATACCAGAAGAGCTGTATTGATGACACTAAAAGGACTATATGTATTGATGATACAAGAAGGACTATATGTATTGATGATACCAGAAGGACTATATGTATTGATGATACCAGAAGGACTATATGTATTGATGATACCAGAAGGACTATATGTATTGATGATACCAAAAGGACTATATGTATTGATGATACAAGAAAGACTATATGTATTGATGATACCAGAAGGACTATATGTATTGATGATACCAGAAGGACTATATGTATTGATGATACTAGAAGGGTTGTGTGTATTGATGACACTAGAAGAGATTTGATTTGTTCTGAAACGGTTGTAAGTTGATGTATGGATGAAACTGTGTTAACGCTGTGCAAGAATGATTGTATGTGGATGGTACTATGTCAACCCTATGTTAGAACGATGTTGTGTGAATGAAACTTTGTCCACTTTCTATTAAAACGATTATGTGTGATTTAGATGGGCCGCCTTTCGACGAAAGGGATGATCGGTGCATTAACATCAACTGAAAGTCATTGGCCTACTATATTTACACTCGACTGGAATGGGGCAATAAATCTTGAGAGATGCAAACAATTAGAAGGTCTAGATCTGTACTCTCAAAACAAAATGCGCCACGCGAAACATCACTTCTGGCACTTCCGTTATGAAGGACAGCTATGCAGATTTGTTTCGTTTCTCAGTGGAATAATCACAAAGGCCAAAGAAGGACGGGAACTTTTTGTCAAACATATTTTTCTAAATTCAGGAAATGAATAAATCAAAAATCGGGCTCCGTCATGAGGACCTATCCATCTTTTTGCAGGTTCTTGCCAACTTTCAACTCTGTAACTGTCGTAGTTTTATGGGAAAAGTGACACATGTGTTTCCAAGTTGCCGAAATATATCATAGATATAGGGAGGATACTGTGTTTACTCTATGTCAGAACAGTTGTGTGTAAATGTCTGGATGATACTGTGTGGATGATACTGTGTGGATGATACTGTGTAGATGATACTGTGTGGATGATACTGTCTGGATGATACTGTCTGGATGATACTGTCTGGATGATACTGAGTGGATGATACTGTCTGGGTGATACTGTCTGGATGATACTGTCTGGATGATACTGTCTGGATGATACTGAGTGGATGATACTGTCTGGGTGATACTGTCTGGATGATACTGTCTGGATGATACTGTCTGGATGATA